GGGCCGGCAGCCCAGGGCCTGGACCAGAACCCCTGAGAGTCACTGGGGCTAAAACACAGGTTCCGCGCCCCGGCCGACTCGTTCAGACATCCAGCCGCGGCCGGGGCGTCTGCGTTTTCAGCCCCCGTGTCGTTCTCACTGGGCGGAGGAAGCGTCGGGACGGAGGGGACCCGGAATTCCGTGCAGCTTCACACCTGGTCCCCGAGTCCGCAGGTCCCGGGCCGCAGGCTGCGGGGAAGGGGCGTCGATGTCTGCGTGCTGGGTCCCGGGAGTCCGGCTCCTGTGCGCTGGCTGGACACGCTCCTCTGCACCGAGCGGAGCACCACCCCCTTCCAAGCCCCTCAGGTCACCCCGCTGGGCAAGGCTGAGGCTACAAGACCAGCCACGAAGGCAGCTGCGGAGCTCGCGGGCGCTCTGGGCACGGGTGGCCGCGCCGGGCCGGGCTGCCCACTCCCTCGCCTCTGGTTCCCGACTCTCAGGGCCTCTGCTCATTAGGGTGTGGCTCGGCCTGGGGAGCTGAACAGGTGGCCAAGTCTGGTGACAAGGCCATTGGGCTGTTGCTATGGGGATGGGGATGGAGGCCTTTTGCCTTCAGCCCCAGTTTTCTGCATGGCAGCTCTAATGACCGGCCGCCAGCCCTGCGGAGGCCCTGCTCCTGGTTGTCATGGCAGCGCTGCCTTTTCCCCGAGCAGGAGCCCCCCCCCCCCCCCCCCCCCCCACGGGATGGAGAATTCACCGCACACCTGGTCTCCGCACACCTGGTCGCAGCAGGAAGTGTTGGGTGGCAGCTGAGCTCCGGGAAGCAGGTTAGGGTGTGAGAGAAACAGTCACCTTCAGCCTAATTGCTCAAATGCTGTCCCCAGCACCGAGGGGACAGCAGCTTTTCTGCTGAGTCTGTTGGAGGCCGAGCCGCAGCACAGCTCAGCACAGCCTGAGAGCTGAGCAGCCGGAGCCCAGCGATGGCCCTGCCCCGGCCACTCCCGGCCTGACCAGGCCTCTGTGGGGAAGGGTCCCAGGTGTAGCCCAGAAGACGAGGCTCGTGGGCTTGCTGGGAACGATGAAAAGGAGGAAGCTCTGACTGAAGCTCCAGCCAGAACCCAGCCGAAGGGGGACCATAGTTGCCCAGGCGCCCCGGGCCAGCCAGCCCCTGGTTGGGAGAAGCCTCGGGACAGTCCTGCTCCGGAAACCTGTTGGGAAAGGCGGAGGGGTCCCAGCCCCCAGGAGCGGGCTGCGGTGCCGATGCCGGATGACGGTGCCGGGATGGAGACCGCCAAGAAGGAAAAGGTAGCTGTGCCTCCTCTGGCTCTGGAAGCCTCTGCCCCAGGTCCCCACACCCAGGGGTGGGCTTAGCTCGGACACGCGCCTGCCGCTCAGCAGCTGACTGATGCTCAGGCTCCGTAGGGAAGCCCTGCTGGGAGGGAGTCCTGGGCACCCACTGTCTTGGGCAGAAAGACCCTTCCTCTCAGCAGACCAGGCCCCTCCCTGCTCCAGACTCCAGCCCCTGGCCTGGAAGGTAGGCGGCCAGAGGTCCGGGAAGCGACTGATGTTGGTTTGGGGTCTGGGGAGTTTAGAGCCTGGGGTCTTAGTGGAAGACCAGCAGCCCTGTCCTGAGACAGTGCTCAGCAGACACGATGACAGGCCTCAGGAGCCCACACACCCTCATCCTCGAAGGAATCTCTTCATGGGGAGCCCGAGGGCCGTTCCCTCCTGGGGAGGAGCAGAGATCAGTTACTTTTTCCAAAGCAGAGAGAAATCCAGACCAAGTAGTGAGCAAGGAGAAGGGAGGCCCCAGGGCAGGGGGCCGGCTGGGGTGCAGTGGGGGCCCCGGAGAGGCCTGGTCCTTCCCTGCGACATGATTCTCACCTCGCACGCCTCCTCCTCCTCTGAAACAACAAGGTCAGCACAAACGGTGCTGCTTCTGCTGCTGGCAGAGCTGACGATGTCAGGAGAAAACCGCCAGCCCAGGCAGGCGCCCCGGCCAGGAAGCCAGGCAGGCAGAGGATTTGGAGACAGCCCCGCGGCCACCTGAGGAGGAACGGGGGTGGGGGGTGTCTTTGTGACAATCAGAGAGATGGCGTGGCAAGAGTGTGAGGGGCTGTGGCTGCCGTGGGGAACCCATTCCCAGACTCAGGCTGGCCCCCGTCCCTTCCTGTGTGTCCAGGGGACGCGGGGCTCCACCGGGCAGACCGTCTCTGCTCCCGAGGGAGGGGTGCAGGTCCCAGCCAGGAGCCAGGCTGCCTGCAGCGGCCGAGGGTCACCGACACCCTGTTCCCAGCTGAGCAGAGTGAGGCACGTGCTTCAGTGAGGCAACAAAAGCGTCCATCATCAAGATAAATACTATTTTAATGCAAAAAATTGTGCTTTGAAGGGAACCTAAGTGCTGCTGGTTTCTCGTCCGCTTCTGTGGTCCTTCTCACCTGTACTGACCTCCAGGCCTTACCTGTGGTCATCCTTCTATAACCTACAGAGCTGTGTGGCCACAGGGCTTGACCACATAGATGTCAGCTCCGAACAGTTTCTAGAACCCCTTGGGGGCAGGTCTGCGCCCACTGATGCTGTCCTAAAACTGGGCCCTGGGGGCCCCTTGCGATCCTGGTCTGTACTCCCCCACTCCTCACTGGACCCTCCTGCTGGTCCAACCCTCCCCACAAGTACCTGGAGCCTGGGAGACACAGGGGCTTCAAAGCATGTCCAGTTGGCCGTGTGTTAGTTGGCTCTGGCACCATAACAAATTCTGTGGACCCAGCAGCATAAACAACAGCTCTGGAGACTAGAGTCCGAGGTCAGGGCCAGAGTGGCCAGTCCTGGTGTGGCCTCTTCCGGGCTTGCAGATGCCAACTCCCAACTGTGTCCTCATGGGGGTGGGGGGCGGTGCAGTGAGGGGAATGAGGGGCGCCAGCTCTCTGTCTTCTCATAAGGACACTAATCTCCGCTCGGGGCCCCACCCTCATGACCTCTTCTAACCCTGATCCCCTCCCAAAGCCCCACCTGCAAATACCATCACATTGGGGAAGGCCTCGGTGTGGATTTGGGCACACAATTCGGTCTGTAGCCTGCAAGGAGCTGACCGCCCTCCGTTCTGGCCCTCAGGCTGCCCGGCACTTTGCCCCCAGGAAGAAGGAGGCTTGGCAATGGGTGAAGCCCTGTGCTTGCCCTGCTTCCCGCCTCTGCAGGAAAGGCCAGCAGGTGTGCTGGGATGGGCCAGCTCGGAGGGAGTGTGAGAAAACCCTGAGTGTGGGGGACAGGCTCCCCGTGGGCAGGAGCAGGTCAGCCAGCTCTGCACAAGCCCATCTACCCCCCCCCTCCCTGCTGAGCTGGCCCCCCTGCAGAGGCCGCAGCCTCTGACCATCCACCCGGCAGTGGTGACAGACCTGGGTGGGCCCAGCTGCCCCACCCCCTGCCCCTGGGAGGAAAGGGGTGGGAGAAGATAAAGAAGCCCCTTTGAGCACTCCCCAGAGAGCAGAACTGACCCGGCCCAGGGGAGAGAAGGCTCCCGCCTCCACATCTAGCACCTGCACCCACGCTGGGCGGCTCTTTGTTCCCAGCACAGCAGCCTTTGGAAACAAAGTCCCTCCAGACCTCAGTGTCCCCTCTGAAAAGGCCCCCGGCTGCTGTGTGGGTGAGACCCCCCCCAGCGTGCCTGGCGGCGGCGGGGGGCAGGGGGTGGTGCGCGGGCTCCTGCTGCAGAAGGCTGCCGGTGAACAGAAGTGCTGGAAAGCCCTGCAGCAGAGATTGGGGAGCGGATTTCACGCCACCGTGACACACTCCTTTCCAGAACACAGAGAACCCCCCCTCGGCTGGCCCCTCCCTGCCCATGACGTTGACCCACAGACAGGCTCGGGGAAACCGAGTCACACGCATCAGGTGTGCCCTGCGGCCCCGCCCACGGGCTCCTGGATTTGGCCAGAGCAGAGCCTGGAGCAGGGCCGTCCCAGCTGGTGGACCCCAGGCCCCTTTCTGGGCACAGAGGTCAGGCATGCCTGGGGAGCACCCCTTCTCCCCGTCCCTGCAGCCCCGCAGGCTCACCAGCAGGCGTGGTGTTCCCTGAACAAACTATGAGAAACGTGAACGCATAAAGTGGTAAAGAAAAAGGCCATGAGAATCAGTGACCGCTGGCTGTTAGAATAGCCCAGCCCTGGCCGGGGGCTCCATTGGGAACGTTTCCTGGTACAGCAAAAGGATTCGGGACCCATTCCGGTCAGGGCACACACCTAGGCTGGGGTTCCATCCCCAGCTGGGGCACGTACAGGAGGCAACTGATGGATGTTCCTCTCTCTCTCTCTCTCTCTCTCTCTCTCTTCAATAACCATGACCGTGGGTGAGGATTAGAGAGACAGCCCCCAGAAGCCCACTGATGGGCAGGCAGAGATTTCAGTTGGTTACAAAGCAGTGGTGGGTGTTTCCTAAACACACACACACAATGTCGTACTCAACTTCTGGCCAATGTATCGCCCGTTAAATACTTAGAAACTATAACAGAGAGAACGACTATTGGGGGCAGAGCTCTAGTTTTCCAGTAACCAAGCCCATGCTTCTGCCCACAGGGAAGGAAGCTCATGGTACACTCAGCAGGTGCCCAGCCACGTGAAGTGCTGGCCCCGCCCCTCCTGTGCCCCAGCCCCCTCTGTGCCTGGAACCACCCCCACCCCCACCCTGGCTCCCTGCCAAGGCCAGGCCAGGCCCACAGCAGAGTGAAGGGCGCTCATGAGCCACCACTAGAGCCTCAGGACGGAAAGGTATTGGCAGGGAGACTCGTCCCTGGGGTCCCTCGAGGCCCCAGCCCCCACCGCCCGGGACTTGCGTTGTAAATGCTCCTACCCCTCCACATCCATCCTGTCTCCGAACTCCTGGGCACAGGGGGGTCCGAGTGCCAACAGCCTGTGGCTGGAGGCTCAGGAAACTCGACCTCTGCTGCCACACTCTGGCTGCCCCAGGCCAGTGCCCTTAGCTGCCCTCTGCCAGCCTCTTGGCCTTGGCTGTTGGTGGTGCCCTACCTGGTGTCCCTGCCGTGTCTTCCTCTCCAGCTCTCAGTGGGCGCAGGCTGGGGGTGGGGCCAGAGGCAAGGACACGGTCTCAGACTGGTCACACTTCATCTGTGATTATCTGTGCCTTTTGCTTGTTGCTGTCTTTCATCCTTGGTCGGCCCACGTGTTTGCTCTTTTATTGGTGTTTTTAAAGAACTGGGTGTGGGATTTGTTCATTGAGTTAACTGTTGTTTCACTTGTGTTTTCTGTGTGATTTGTTTCTGCTTTTATCATTCTTGACTAGTGGCCCGGTGCACGAAATTCATGCACATTAAAGGGGGATTAATTAGAGGAAATATTTTAATATTGCTATTTGCCCTTTCTCTATAATAGAAGTGTCAGGGATGAAAGAAAATTAGTAAAATGTATATGAAAATCTTCCTCCTGTCAGAGTCTGGGGCGCACCACGGGACCCAGAGTCAAGTCCCCACCCACCCACATGCGCCCAGACCCAGCCAGCCCCCCAACATTGGGCTAGATCCAGACCCGGCCGGTCCCACCCTTGTCAAGCCCCGATAGGCGGGGGGTGCGGCCTCAGGTCCCCCGTCAAGCCCTGCCGGGTGGAGGGTGTAGCCTGAGGTCCCTGGCCTGGCGCCAGGCGGGGGGGGGGGGGGGGCGGGGCCCCGGGAAGAGATACTACAGTAATTGTACCTACTTGACATTTACAGAGTTCGTTGTCATTTATAAATTACTTTTCAAGTATTCAATTGTAAAGGAAATTGTGAAACTAAAAATTATTCTAGTAATTCTTACTTCCTCTAGAAATGTAAGGAAATCTTTTTACTTACAAAATAAGGACAGGGGCTGTTATAAGAAAAAAATCACCAGAAAAGTACCCTCACTTCACTAACACTTCAATTACTACTTTAAAATAAAATTAAATATCTCAAACATTCAGAAGAGTAATATAATAAATAATCTCATTCCTTATTAGAAAAAGCCAACATCTACTTCAGATTTCATTAAATAAATAAATAATTACAAATTTAGGTTAAATTTCCTGTGTTCTTTGCAATCTCAATTCCACCTATTTCCCCAGACACAGCCACTGTCCTAAAATTGATTTATATTATTCTCTACCATGTTTTTATACTTATAACTAATATGTATATGTTCATAAATAGCATGCAGCACTCATTGTTTCATATGTTTTTAAAACCTTTGCTTAAATGTTGTTTTATTATACATACTAGTGGCCCGGTGCATGAAATTTGTGCACATTAAAAGGATTAGAGGAAATATTTTAATATTACTATTTGCCCTTTCTCTATAATAGAAGTGTCAGAGATATTAGAAAATGTATATGAAAATCTTCCTCCGTCTTGAGGTCCCCCGTCAAGCCCCGCCGGGTGGGGGTCATGGCCTCAGGTCCCCCGTCAAGCCCTGCCAAGTGGGGGGCATGACCTGAGTCCTGTGTCAAGCCCCACGGCAGAGGGAACAGCTTCAGGTCCCTGCTGATTGCTCGCTAAGGCTCATTACAGGAACTCGGCCTCCGCTGTGGGAGCAGCCATCTTGTGTTATGGAAACCGCCCCCCCCTCCGCTGAGGGCGCAGCCATCTTTGTGGCAGAGTGACGGTCAATTTGCATATCCCTCTATTGTATAGCATTCTTTTATCCTAGTCTTTGTGGGTGCACTCTATCTCTGTTGTGTTGGGTTTGGCCTCTTGGGAGCCTGCTTTGCTCACCGACGCCCATTTATTTTGCTGCACCCCTTTGAGGGGGTGCATGCTCCTGGGAGCCCTGCTCTGGCTGGGAGCCACACTTCGTGTATTTGGTGTCGTCATGGTTACTCATCTGGAAGGGTCTGCACTCCAACCCAGATGCCCTCTTCAGCCCAAACACTGCTGACCACAGCCCCTCTGCCTGCCTCCAGTTCCGGCCACTCTAAACCCCTGCACTTCTGCCAATGCTCTGGCACTGTCCTGCGGTCCCCCTGGGAACGTCCCTCGTCCCGGGCCACCCCTCGGCACCAGGACGGCAGGAAGGACCTTGAGGACCCTGTCCTCGGCCTCTGGGACCCCACTGGTCTCTTCTGAGCTCCCCAAGGATGCAAGCGTCCGGTGTCCATCTGTACAGCTGTCTGCTCTCTCCTCCAGGATTGTAAGCTCCTTGGGGACTAAAACCCAGTCACTTTCGTACCCTCAGATGGAGCACAACTCAGGGACCCAGACATTAAGTCAATGAGTGACCCACACCCCGAACTAGCCTACCACCCTCTCCATTAGTCACTGTCGGCACCTTTCCAGGGTTAATTAGGATGCGCTTAAAAGCTGCACCAATTCAGGGGCATGGGAGGTGGGTCTGCAAAGCGCAACTACTTCCTCCTCACCTGGTGGCCCAGCAGGTGTGCGTGAGCCAGGAGAAAATGGAGCCTTGAGCCAGGGCAGGCTTCAGGTCAGAGGGTCCTGTGGGCAGGGCCTCCCAGTACCTGGGTCACATAGTGTAGAGCCCGTGAGTGGCTTATAGTTGGTCCCTGGGAACGGTTCTGTCCTGGGGCAGGTGCATGGCTTCTTGAGCCTTTCCTGGTCTAGGAGGCGGGCAGAGGCCCGGGCCTCCCACATGCTGGGCCACAGGCAGGTAGAGTTTGTATGGAGCACCCAGCTCAGAGTCTGGGGTATTGTCCCTGTGAGAGCATGAAAGACAGAGGAGCCCTGGCCGGTGCTCCGTGGTTAGAGTGTCGGCATGTGGACTGAAGGGTCGAGGGTTCAATTCCCATCAAGGGCATGTACCTCCCCAGCGCCGGTTGGGGTGCATGCGGGAGGCAACCAATTAATGTGTCTCCCTTACACCAATGTTTGTCTGTCTCCCTCCCTTCCATTCTCTCTAAAAATCAACGGAAAAAATATCCTCAGGTGAGGATCAACAACCACAACAAAAAGACAGACAGAGGAGGCAGAGTGGTAGGCATGGGCCGCGGACACTGGCCTCCCGAGTGCCAGGAGCTGCAGGCTGCGCCCGCTCAGCAAACACTGGTGCTCGAATCTGCGTGTTTGCTCGTGTGCTTTGCCAGCCCGCCCGCTGTGACCGTCCCTGGGTCTCCATGTGAAGTCCGGTCCTGATAGGCGGCACGGCTCCTGCGTTAGGACACGCATCCACCAGGAGTGCCCAGGCCGCAGGAAACCGAAACCCTCCCATAGCCACACCTGGGGGTGGGTGTCCGCTCCTCTCCCCCATCTGTGGTTTGTTAGCAGCTTTCCCTTCCGCCGCGGCTCCTCATGGTTGTGGGACAGCTGCATTCACAGCCTCAGGGGGCACTGACCTTCCTTCTCCTGCTAAACCAGGCTTCCTTCACCCGCCATTGGCCACTGGCTGAGCCCAATCACAGGCTGGTCCCTGGGCCTGGGGAGGGCCTGCCTTCCTTCCATCTGCTACTCCCTGCCCGGCTGGATTCCCGGTGCCTACGTGGAGGAGACCCACAGCTTTTATCAAGTATCTTTCCTTTCCTTTGGGTCCAAACAGCCACTGAATCCAAGCGGCCTCCTCTCTGGAAGGTGCACTATTGTGCCAGGTGGGCAGGAGCCAACCACCCACATGCGGAGCAGAGCGAGGTCCCGTCACTGGGGGCACGTGGGCACGGGCAGCTGGTCCAGGAGGTTCAGGAGGAGACCCCTCCAGGCCGTCGCACTCACAGGGAAGGTGGCACTGGCTGTACAGGCCTTGCCCCTGTCAGTGCACAGGGACCCCCATGGCCACAGAGCCTGCCACGCTTTGGACAGCAGTGCTTTCAGCTGCCCTGACTGTCCCTCTGGCCAGCGTGCACACGGTCCTTCATGCCCTTAGCGTCAGCCCTGGAGCGGGAGTGACTGCGTCCCTCACCCAGTCATGCCGCTGCCCCTCGCCCTTCGGACAGGCTGTCTTGGCCTCCCCCGCCCTCCTGCTGAGCGCCTTCTCCCCGCCTCGCCTCCCGCATCTGCCCTCTGCCCTCACCCTGGACCCCGGCCCATCCGTGAGGTTCTAATTGCTCAGCTGTTTCTAACTGTGGTGATTTGAGTCATCACCCCGGACCAGGGCCAGAGAGCAAAGGAGACCTCGTGTGAGTGGGGAGTGCCCAGTACCCAGCCTCCCCCTCCCCTGTGCAGGCAGAGCAGATCCTGGCGGAGTTCCGACTGCAGGAGGAGGACCTGAAGAAGGTGATGAGGCGGATGCAGAAGGAGATGGACCGTGGCCTGAGGCTGGAGACTCACCAGGAGGCCAGCGTGAAGATGCTGCCCACCTACGTACGCTCCACCCCCGAAGGCTCAGGTACTGCAGGGCAAGGGTGGGGCCGCCCTGCGGGGCAGCTGTCCCCAGGCCCCTCCAAAGGCTCTGGCCCCAGCAGCCTGGAATCAGGCCCCCGGAGGCTGGGCCCCAGACAGGCCGGCCCTCACCTGGGCTTGCAGGCTCACCGTGGCCTCAGGACCTGGCTTTTCCCATCTCATTGGGGAAGTACCCCCTGTAGTCACTTGCCCCCCTCCCCGCCCCAGTCCTGAGTCTGGCCATTTCACTAGTTTTTCAGTTGAGCTCTAGACTGGGGGTGACTTCAGTTCAAAGCTGGGGGTTCCCATGGACTTCCCAGTTCACCTTTGACCCCCTCCCCCCTGTTGAAAATGGTGTCCCCAGATGTCTGGCATTGCAGCCCCTTGTCCAGTGCCCGTGGGCCTCCTGCCTTCCCTCCTCCTCTCCCTGTGGCTGCAGAAGTTGGGGACTTCCTCTCGCTGGACCTGGGCGGCACCAACTTCCGGGTGATGCTGGTGAAGGTGGGGGAGGGGGAGGCCGGCCACTGGAGCGTGAAGACCAAGCACCAGATGTACTGCATCCCCGAGGACGCCATGACGGGCACCGCGGAGATGGTGAGCGGGGCCTCAGGCTCTCGTCCTGGAGGGGCACCTCCCCACCTGGGTGAGGGCCCACCTGTCCACCTGGAGGGGCTAGTCCTCCACAGCTGCAGGGGGGTGGCCAGGACACCTGGAGGAAACAGAAGTCATAGTCTTCTATGACTTAGTCGCCCAGTCACGGGTGCAGAGCACAGCTGGCGGGAACCAGCCCCGTCTGAGCCACCCTGTCCTGGGGCTGCCGTCGGCAGGGCTCTAGGGGAGGCTCAGGGCCCAATAAGTGGAGGGACTGCGCACAGTGGAGCTGGCTTCCCTGGGGCACAGCACAGGCTCTGGGTGGCGGGGACGGGGCTGTGCCGCCCACCGCTGTGGCCGCGCGCTTCCAGCTCTTCGACTACATCTCCGAGTGCATCTCCGACTTCCTGGACAAGCACCAGATGAAGCACAAGAAGCTGCCCTTGGGCTTCACCTTCTCCTTTCCCGTGAGGCATGAGGACATCGACAAGGTGGGGCCCAGGGGCTGGGCAAGGGGACAACAGACAGACAGACGGAGGGAGGGACGGACATGCACCCGGGAGAAAGGCACCCATGCAGCCTTCAAACACAACTCCCTTGTTGGGAAACTGTGCCTGTCACCTGCATCCATGACACTGCGGGAACGAATGTTGGCTGGTTTCACTGTTTGCCTTGATCTCCCCGTAACATCACCCTGTTCACACCCCCACTGCCGAGTAGGGAACCGAGGTCAGTGACCGGCCCGGTGGGAAGTGGCAGCGCTGGGCTCCCCGGCAGCCGGTGTCATCACTGGTGACCCCTGTGCTGGGGTTGAGGTGTGCGGGCGGAGGCTGAACCCAGCCTTTAGGCTTGGCACTGACACACACGCCAATTACACACGCAGACACAAGCACGTCAGCTGTGTGCACACCTTACCTTCACATGTATTTGCATGCATCGAGCACACACACGTCTGTGACCTGAAACCTCACACACAACAGCAGCAGGTTTTCCAGCCCCCAGGGCGCACTGAGGGCAGTGGCTCCTTCCTCTGCAGTGGGTGCACCACCGCCCGGCCCCCGCCCACCGCCCGCCCTCCAGCCCACTGTTCACATACGGGCTGCTCCACTCCAGACCCACACCCTCACTCTGGGGGGACGTCTCTGGGCTTTACTAACAAACATCCTCAAATTGCTGGGACCCCGCTCTGCAGAACCATGAACAGTTGTGTAGTCGTCAAACCCCTCAAAACTACTGGAGCCTCAGTCTGCTCACCCACTAAGTGGGGTCTGGGGTCCAAGGGAGGTCCCCGCTTCACACCTGCCCCGGCCACCAAGGTCCTCCTCCTCCCACAGGGCATCCTGCTCAACTGGACCAAGGGCTTCAAGGCCTCGGGAGCAGAAGGGAACAACATCGTGGGGCTCCTACGAGACGCCATCAAGCGGAGAGGGGTGAGGAGGCACCTGTTCCCTGGCCTCCCCGCCCCTCCCCCCTCAGGCGAGGATGTCCGCGAGGGCCTCTGGGTCCCCTCGGCAGAGTCTCCGCTCCCTCCTTGGTGGGCCCGCCAGGACAGGTTAAACGGAGACCCCCAGCCCCATCCCCACCCCTCTGTGCTCTCGGCAGGACTTTGAGATGGACGTGGTGGCGATGGTGAACGACACTGTGGCCACAATGATCTCCTGCTACTACGAAGACCGCCAGTGTGAGGTTGGCATGATTGTGGGTAAGGACTCCTGCCCTGCCCTGTCCAGGGGCCTCGGCCTCGGGCCCTGAGGAGTGAGGGCCACAGTCAGCGCGGGGCCTGAGCACCCCGGGGCAGGCTTGGGGAGGGCAGGGGCGCCCCCATGCAAGCTCTGTCCTGCTGGGAAGCAGTCACACTGCATCACTGCATCAGATGGCACGCCTGCCGCACCTGCACCTGGCCCATCAGAGTTAATGAAAACACTTTATCTGGTAAATTGACCAAATGAGACAGATTTGTCCAAGTGGAAGAGAATAAGCAAAGTGGTGTCGTCTCTTCCTGGAAGGTCTGACTGTACCCAGGGCCAGCCTGCCCGGCCTGAAGAAGAGGCAGTGCCTGGAACGGAGGCTGTGCTGGCCCCAGGGGGCTCCCTGCAAATCCACAGCCAGTCCCACCTGCCCTAGCCGGTCCCACACTGTGTCTTACCTCAGGGTGCCCCCCCTCCCCCAACAGAGCCCAAGACAGAGAGGCTTAACTGCATGAATGGAAAAAGTCAGGAAACAAGGGTGGAGCATAGACAAAACCGTAACATCCAGCACCCATCTCTGCTGTGCACATTTGACACGTTTCTCTCAGTCCTCCCAACCAGCCAGATAAGGGGAGGGGGTGTTCCCCTTTCCTGGTGGGGAAGAGGGACAGCCCAGAGGGGTGGGTCCATCCACCTGCGGCCATACAGCAGACAGGTGCTGTGTGCCTGGGAGTGGTGGGGGCAGGGAAGACTGCCCTGGGCTTCCTGCGGCCCGGTGTGTGGGGGGCGGGGCAT